AGTATAATTCTTGAAACAACAGTAATGAAAGCTCATCATTAGAGGAAATTAGGAGACAAAACTTTTAAATTATATGCAGCACATCACTATATTAAACGCGCAACTCTAACGTGGTTAATCCTTAGAGCCCAAACTCTGCAACATTACAAACACACATTTGATACGTGATGTTTATGGAACCCACTGAGCGTGCGTAGGAGTATCTCTGACTTAAACACAAGCCTACCATTATATTCTAATTAGTCATTAAAAACTCGTGCAAGTTAATGATAAAACATTGAAAATCATTAAAGCGGGACTTGAATATATTTGCTTTGTATACTAACCCCGTTTAGGCTTCTTAGTTTCACTTGAAAAACTTCCACCAAGAAACAATGTTAAAAACCTGTAAGAATAATTGCAAGCAAAAGACCTATATGCAGACAATTCTAATAAAATATAATTTATTAATAAATAGAAAGATATACAAGTATATATTATAGACATTGGTCCATACAATATTTGAACGAAATAGAGTATAGGACAAGTGCTGTAATTTCCCAATTTTGATCTATTCTATTCTAAGGAATTTTGCATAGGTATACAAATTGTTCAGATATCAGGTTTCTCAAGTCTGTCAATGAAATAGAAGTATTCTAATATATTCGTGTCAGAGTCTCAAGTACTGCCTATCTCAAGCATTGTATAGAACGTGAATTTTATTTGATCATTTATGTTCTCATTTTATTCCCTTAGTAAATTTCATATATCGTAGTTAATAATAGTGCGATGACTCCTGAGCTCTGAAGGGGATTTTTTATTCGCGTCACTGTCAAACTCAAGTAATTTGCTGAATACGTAAAGCAATAACACTCAATCATTGACATGGTATCATTTATTTGAAACTGATGATTTGATTTACAGCATGTTATTTCCTTGGTAAAGTTTTCTTCATATACAGTTTCAAGTTGAGAGGTTACGGCTCAAGAGAATTGTCATATCACGTAGTTGTCAATGTAGTGAATTGTATATATGATATTTAAAATATATTATAAAGATTAAGAAGAATATTGTGATCTAGTGAACGCTTGGGCACTTGTATTGGAAGGATATAAACTTTATAGACATTGAATGTGTGTAAAGGAAGTGAATGGTGATATATTCAAGTGTTCTCGCATTTCTCGGTATACATGAAATAACAGTGTATCTGATTGATAATTGAGATGAATATATAGTAAATACTCGCAATATTAGGCAATCACTAAAAGTAGTTCTATCATACTTACATAAAAGTGATGAGAAATGATTGTTTGACGAGCATTCTCGGCATGGTCGTGTTGAGAATGTAGTGTTGATGATGAGGGTGTCGGATATACTTTGACATCATCAACTAGTCATACTTAATGACTTTGATATTAGACACCGTATTCTGAGCACTTGGCATACTTCGCTGCAGTATGTCTTTGCCATGATATTGATATTTATTTCTCCTCTCTATAGAATTTGACTATAGGGTTTAGTAAAATGTCCAATACAGTATAGTTTACATAATTCTTAAATTTTTGGACGCCCTCAATTACACAATTTATCATGTACTGGCATAATTAATAATCTGTATATCTTAATACTGGCCCTTTGTGATCATTGTTTGCAATTTAATGCACCGTATTTCCTCTATTTACCCCCCTCATGGGCAAGATACAAATGGGAATCATGCAAAGGCAAACTAGAAATCACTGAAATTACTGCAGGATCTTTCTCGTCCTCTCAGCAACTCTTCTGAACCGAGGTGGTAGTGATGAAATTGAGGCATTCTTGCGTGTCACCCCGGGTCAACTTTTGGCGATAAAATAACCGGGAAAAAGGTTGAAATAACATGCAGGGAAATTAAGCAGGCGATAGGTTAAACGTTTAACCAGTACTAATTATTTTTAAGCAGAGTGCAGTTTAGAAGAACAGCTAATGCATGATACGGATGAGATCATGCTTATGAAACGGAGTGTATGCTTGTTTTGGGAATGATACGTAAATCATGATGGAATGTACGACAAATTCCGTAATTGTATATCATGCTTCGTGTGGACATCGAGTGAAATTCGCCTTTCTCATGCCGCCATTTTTGGGGTACTTTTTTGCCAATCCTGCGAGCGCAACACCACGTACGTAACGGCGACATTTTTTAATTTTGTGGGTGTATGATCGTAAATTTACTCTGTAAATAGTTAGTTTGTTCTGAAATATTGCTTTCCACATTGTTATAATCGTTTACGAAAAATTACAGTACCCCAAAAATGGCGGCGTGAGAAAGGCTAATTAATCGAAAATATAACACAACATCCTAAATTATGAATCCAAGTTTGTTCATCTGCGTGTGGCTGGCTTGTAAATCACAACATGTGGCAGAAAGCCAGTTATACATTAATACCAACAGTTCATGTATCAGTTTTGTGTGTAGCCTGCGTAGCAGTCGCTTTCTTAATTTTATTTGACTAATTTGAGGATATTTTAATCTTATTTGAGGATATTTTAAGATATGAATGCGAAAAAAAAGCGGAGAAAAAAGGGGAGAAAAAAAGGGCGAAGGGGAAAACGGCGAAGGGGAAAAAGTGCGAAGGAAAAATAAAGCTTTAGTTTTCCTTCGCCCTTTTCCCCTTCGCCCGTTTTGTTCTCCGCTTTTTTTTCGCATTAAAATATCCTCAAATATAATTTAAAAAATAAAGCGACTGCTACCCAGGCTATTTTGTGTGTGAAAGTTTTAGCCGAATATTTAACTTGATGATACATTACTGCGTATAGCTATCAGACCTAGAGAAGACATGGAAAATGAGAAATATACTGAAAAACATTGACGAGATTATCCAAACACGAATTAACTTCCTTCACTATTTTTGAAGAGGTTGCCTTGTTCCACTGAAACATTTTCTATTCAAGGATTAAGAATACGAGTGCAGATGTTTGAAATTTGGCCAAAATTATAGGAGCCATCGCGGCGAGTGCAATTTGCCAAAATGTTCAAACTAGTATTGTTACTACGAGCAACATCACATGATTACTTGTTTATCAGTATTTGCATGGAATTTCAGAATCTGGGTTATACCAATCAACGACCATCGTACAACCGGCCCCTTTGTAGTGCTGCTTGTGATAAATCACCATGCGGCCTTCGTACAACCGGCCCCTTTGTACTGCTGTAATAATAAATAAATAAATAATAATGATGGTTTTATTACAGCATTTCCACCAAGGTAACTCTTCATCTGTAAACAATAAATTAATTCAACTAATCATATTTAAACTATATTTAAAACTGGCAAAGGAACTAATTTGATGTTTGATCCTGTGTGTACATTATATTAAAATAGCTGAGATTACTATAACTAAGAATGAAATCTAATGTCTCTAATGGTAGCCTTCTCCTTTAAATGTTTCGGTAATAGACTTTTATCTGTAAATAAGAATGTTGTCTAACTTTGTTGAAGACCTTAGCGATCTTCATATCTGGTTTACGGCCAATTAGTAAAATACATGGCTTCAATAAGAGCAGTGAGAAGTAGATGACTAGTATATTAATTAAGTTTGTTCGCATAGCGGCCAAGTACAAAGCTGGCAGTGGCTAACCGTGTGCGATGAAGTCATATCAACTGAATAGCTGACTAAATAAGGAGTTGTGACTTGTAGTTGTGACATCAGTGATGCCATATAGGAAAAAATATTGCACGATTGACGTCAATGGATGCAATATAACAAAATATTATTACATGCTGTGACGTTAATCCATTATAACAAAAATAAAACTGCTTCTCCATTGGATGGAATTTCACGAAAGCAAAATTTAAAGAAAAATAAAGACTTAAAGCGAAGAAAGGCTCTGAGATATCTTTTGACAAATATTTGAAGGAACAGGAATTTTCTGCAAATGACAAAATGAGTCGTTATTATTTGGATAGCCTGCGAACAGGCTCTTTGAATTGACTTTTAATTACGTCTTCTGAGTTTAACTTTCCAATAATAAAATGAATAATTGAATTTGTCGGTTTTCATGTGATATATGAAGAATTATCAACGCCTCTGATTGTGTTATCTGCGTCCGCTTTCATCTGCGTTATTATTTTCGAACATGCAAAGGGCGCAAATATTAAAAGTTCTATGAGGGGGGCAGAAGCGAGAATTTGTTATTACTAACTGATAATTGCCTTTCAACTGACATAATAAATTTGTTATATATGATGTAATTAATTTTCCAGAGAGATTTTAATGATGGATGCTTCAATTTTTTGACATGTAGATAAATGAGAAACCACAACGTGATGCCTTGGTTTACTAGGCAAGGTGTGGACTACGCAAGGTGTTGTGGACCGCAGAAGTTTAATTCATTGCTTGGAGTGTCATTTGAATGCTTACTGAGGTACGTTCAGTACGTTTCATACTTCATATTAAGTTAATTGAAATTTTTATACTGAATTGATATCAATGTCTTTACTAACACTTTGACGAACGGCCGTTTTCGGAACGTCCAAATTTTCTCGCGGAACATTTGAATTTATGGTCAGAATACGGGTTTTTTTGCATGATATTTTTGTTGCCCAAGGTGCGATAAATCAAGGTTGTTAGTTGTATCTCACTGGTACTGCACTAAATGCCGATTATCGTCACGTACTTGAGCTTGTAGAAGACTCAAGAGTCAAGGTGTAACTGTGTACTTTGGCTTCAACAGAAAGTACATATAAAGTACAGGCTTCTATTCATTCAGTAGCAGTGGAGTTAGAACAAGGAGCGACAATTGCATATACAAACAATTTACTCCAACATTCTTCAGTCCCGTCTTACCCAATCACTGGCCATGAATCATGTTTCGTGCCATGTCCGACTAGATGTCGGATTTAGATATACAGCTAATACTTGAATACGGTTTTGAATACTTTGTGCTTGAAAAGGTCACATGCTTCCAGTAAGAGTTAAGTACGCAGGAAGCGAGAATACCGTGTATCTGTGTGTAATATTGGCGTACTTCTCGTACGTAAATGCGTGTGTTACCGCATCCTGACTTTCAATTGATCAAATGGTTTGACCTAAGTAAATGGTGTTTAACTGGTTTGCCCGTTTCTGCACATTTAAACTATGTCAGCGGACATCTTGGCTAGACAGAAGATTAGTTTTAATCTTTTGTTAAGAACATGCAAACAGATCTTTTTAGATAAAAAAAGAACCACATTATATCTAAACATTTCTGTGTTTATCGTCACTGTACATTAATTAAGAGTAGTTATTTTAATTAATTTTTCACGACAACATCAACACTCCTGTTCTGTGGTGACGGCATCTATATCTGTAGCGGTGCAAAAACTCATTCAACAATCGAACTTTAATTTTTTTGTCCAATATAAAATGCTAGTAAATGATTTGGAAAATGCTCAAAATTTAGTTGAATGATTGAGAGAACACAGAGGATCCACATTGATTGACATGTCTTGTTTTAACAAATGTTAACAATTAACGTTATTTAGTTGTTCATTTTCCGCCTGTTGAAAGATTCATCCCGCCAGCACTGACCTTCACACTACCCTGGGAACGAGGTTGCACACTATGTTATAATGTATTACACATTGTATTATAATATTTCTAATGTTATTTGTAAATATTATTCATATCATCTTTTATAGGGGAAGTGCCACCTTGTGGATCTTATTGAATAAATTATTAAATTAGAGGTGTCAATTTCTTTCAAAATGTGATTTTTCATATCTTGACTGAATAAATGGTATGGCACGTTTAATAGCAGCTGAAAAAGAGCGGAAATATGTCGAGAACCTATGAATGTTTCTTCGTTTTTGCCATTTATGTCGTCCATATAGTATTAGGCGATAAAAATACACTAATTAGCGCCTAGGTAGCCAGAACTGAAAGACAGATAACTTGATGTCATTCTATCATCGTTTAAACTAGCAATTTTTCCTGCGATGTGATCTAGACAACTGAAGACAATTGAATGCTTTCGTGGCTGAATGCGCTCAAAAAATAACAATTCAAGTGCACCCGGCTTGCGGCATATTTTCCTACCATGTTTTAATAATAAGATATTCTATGTTTGCGATGTTACTCTGAGTGCATATCCACACCGGGCGAGCTTGAAAAATATGCCCGGCCACGGTGGGATTCGAACCTACGACCTTTGAAATACTAGCCCAATGCTCTTCCAACTGAGCTACGCGGTCAGGACGGTTCGTTGAACTAGAACACATTGGTATTGAAGGAACTAGATACTGTTCCGAAATATCACTTACACGAACCGTCCTGACCGCGTAGCTCAGTTGGAAGAGCATTGGGCTAGTATTCCAAAGGTCGTAGGTTCGAATCCCACCGTGGCCGGGCATATTTTTCAAGCTCGCCCGGTGTGGATATGCACTCAGAGTAACATCGCAAACATATTATTCACCTGAGTACACAACACCAACACAGAAAAAAAATAAGATATTCGTTGTAAAACTCGGTAAATACGGTCATTTCTGCCAGCACTGGCTGGATTAGATGAACAAAAGTATTAGACAGTTCTACTATTGATATTATGTCTTGATATGTTTGATTTGTGGGACCACGTGCATGTTAACGTACCTTATAACTTATAAGATATTCATTTAGCGATTTCTCGCGTGCTGAAGCGTTAATGGTTAAATTGGATCAAAAGTAGGCTTCCACGCATGATCCAATAGTTTGCAGAAATCCTGCGTGAGACCCTGTGTCTTGTTAATGCGCAACATCGTCTTTATGGTGAATCTGGTTTACTCTGTCATAGTTACTGTGGTGACATTTTGGAAAAAAATTGTGTATTTGAACTTAGGTTTTTTATTCTCTAAAATCGGTCCAGTCAGACGTTAACGATTAATTGGTGGACCTCGTTAATTACACTTCAACCAAGCATGCATTGGGCGGAGATACCTAAGCTACGAAAGCGATTTAAAAAAAAGCCCTGATAAGATTACGTATGCTTAGACTTTTCACAATGAACTGTTTCTATCCACGCCGCCAACACACTTTAACGAATTACCCTTTACCGAAAGGAAATCTTAATAGGTTTAACTGCATAATCTTTATTTTCTTCGATCCCTGCTTAATACAACACACGTTGGTACTCCATTAAAACTATATTTTTCTTTGGGATTATATTTCTATACATTTAAATTTTTTTTTATTATTGGTTCCGCCCATATAACTCATGTATATTTACAAGAGTAGTAATTTACATAAAAAATATTATAAACGAAGCAAGGCCATGAGGTCTACTGGAAACCAAAAAGGTTTTTGAATTAAGACCATTAATTATAAGTAGTAAGAAATATTTACGGTCAAATATTCTATGTATATCTCGAAAATTATTCCACGAAATAGTTTTGTTATCAATGTTGAGATTTATAATAAAAAAAAACTGAATGATATTGATAGATTGAACTTTGTTTCATGAAATGTTAATCATTGCATGCAGTGGAGTTTTCGACTTATCTTAATGAACGTAATCCCTGAAATACTCGTAAATAGTTCTATATCTGTGTATAAGAGATGTGTTCTTTCTTAATTTTCGTCCGCCCCTCTAATCCGCCCGTACGCCTATATGTATAGGATCGGTCCACGGTAATGAAGATTTTGTCCAACTTGAAAGCTCCATCGTCTCTTACTGTTAATTAAAATTATCCAATCTTTCCGTGGCGGCCATGCTATTAGACGAAATATATCAAAACGAACTTCCTGTGGTTTAATAGCCAAGACACAATCCAGTTAAAAGTTTATAAATCTTAGTCAGTTCCCAACCTACGGCTACGGGTCGCCAGCAACATACATGAACATGTTTTGTCAGTGATTGATTACATGAAGCATGACACGAAACACAGCGTTCATTTGATTTTATAGGTTGGTTTATTACCCACATGCGAGCCAAACATGGAACACCCACGGAAACAATTTTCTATTCAAACTTGATACTTTCCTGCCCTTTCTTGTAATTATTTCTTGCACAGCTTATTAATGGTCTACTTCCTCGTTGAATAGCACTTAAACAGTAGTTATATTTAGTGTAAACCTACTCCAAACAGTAGTTATATTTAGTGCAAATAACGGTAAATTGACTCTTGATCACGTTCGAAAATTGGAACTTTAATCTAGAACTTTTTCATGAAATGCAACATTCTCATTCATTTCTCAGAAAAATGTTGAGCCATCAACCTTTCAGATGTGAACGTTTTTAAATTGTCGAATCAAGACATGTTGTTGATCGTAAGAACGAATCCATGGTCAGACATGGACAGATCATTATCAACCTGAAATATTCAATTCACATCATGTGAGAACACCTCCTGAAGTAAGTTCTTGCTGGACCTTTAGGGGGAGCAGTTTAGAACTGATTCCAAGCATGAGCACAGGTACTTTACTGATAGCCGTAGGGCGGGAACAATTAGGGGAATGGACAAAAATTTGTCCCATGTTGATGGAAATTGCCCGACATTATCATGAGTTTATTGATAGATGACTAGACTGGATCTCTATAAAGAACAGTCCAGAATAGATGGTTTTTTAAACCTCGGGGTTACTAGTACATGCTCCCATGACAGTTGAGGCAACAGCTGAGGCGTATCCGAGGTCAAACATGCTCCCACGATAGTTGTGTCGTATTTTGTCGGTAACCATAGAGATTATTAGTAGTCGTCTAGTTTGGACTTATTTAAAGATCGAAATAAAGAGATGTTAAGATAAGTCGAAAAGAAAATGATCCTATACTTAGACCTGCATATTAATTAATTGCTTGCCAGTCAATTTACGAAATTCTGTTCTAATTTGCATCTCAAGGTGACCGTAGTTATAATATGCGTCTCAAGGTGACTGTTATGAAACATCAGGCCAAAACAATTATGTTATAAGGTAGTGAAGAAATTAAGGTTGCAACGTTATGTTGAAACTGCGATGTTATTGGTTTGGCCTAAGAAAGAATATATAAAGTGGCAATGGCAAATCTTATCTTAAACGCGCAGCTGTCTTTCGAGATGTATTTTATTCCAGGGGGCATTCTCTGACGTAGCGAGGTCAATTTCTATAAACCAATGACACGGCCATTTTAGATTGGTCTATTGTTTAAGTTTTGTATAAAGCAGCATGTACATGCACGACACCCACACTTTCTAATAGACGTTATAACCTTGAATGCGGTTGACAATTAAATATTCAGTCAGAGTTTCTTCACTCTTCGAGTATAATTTGAAACTTTGCCACATTTATAAATCTTGTATTTTTAGAAGATAACCCGAGTCCAGTCAAAGTTGCTACCACTTCAGGAAAACAGCAGAACTGCGTAAGTTTTAGACTATTGTTATATTTAAACAATTATTCGACCATAAAACACTATTCTCATTGTACATAACTTTAAACGTACGTTGTATTAGTCTCATATCAGTTACAAAGACAGGGGTGTCTTACGTAGTGACAACATATCTATAGGGTTGGAAGAAGTCTTTCAACTTGAAGATAAACTTAAAGTTACTGTTTGAAAAAGGATTAAAAACATTTCGAAGTTTCGCCGACATCTTCGTCACGACCATAGTCTATAGTGGCTATATATAACCTCTAAACCAAGAGCCAAACGTCCAAGTAATATTTTTATCTTTTTCAGCACAGGCATGCGTAGAATAGTGTCTATACTGGACCCCCACGTTTGAAATAACCTGCTAGTACTAATACTGAAGATGTAATATTTGTTTAGTCGCTAGATTATATATATGTGTACGTTATAACAAGATAACACCTCTTTATAGTCTGCATGGCCATAGGCAATTTATTTTCCAATCCCAACGCCAAGCTCAATTTAAAAACTCAATTTAAAAACCTCGTTGGGGGATGTCGTGCTTAATACCGGTGTCGTTTAATAAAGTTTGGACGCTCTTAGACATTGTATAATAGGATCAAGTGTTACTCAGTTTATCAAAGAGATAATAGGGATATCCGTCATTGAGTGGAATACCACCATATTCGAACTTATCACACCGGCAGTATTTTACTGCCGTGGTTCTAAAATACCTGGAAAAAAGTCAAAAACTGTTCCATGTTTTAAAGTCTTCGTGTCATAATTTTGAAATTATTGAAATATTTTGCAAGAATGAAATATTTTCCCATCCACAATAGTTAAATTTTATTTTTATTCGGAGGTGTATGTCATTGAGTAGTGCTTGAGATAATTTTAAAACAACAATAATTCTTTATATAGATTAACCTTGGTAATCTAAGGCTTGTTCTAAGGAGTATATAAGCAGTCTTTGTTCACTTAATTATAATGTCCAAGTAGTTTTAAGTATACGTTTTTAATACCGGATATTGCTAATTGGTTTGATAAACGCAAGAAATGATTCATTATAGACGCATAAATATTTGAAACTTGTGAGATTTATTACTTTGTGGATATTGGGTGTTAATCAACTGCTGCATTTCTGATGGTAGCAGTGGAGTTGGTGTTCCACCATACTGGCATTCCCTCTGTCGCATTTGAAGAGAATGTTTCCTTCTATCAAACCCCACAGAATTCTCACGCTACTCTGATTTACGCCTGTAATTACACTGAGACAATAAGAGAATGATGGTACTTTACTAGACCTCTAGACTAGGGAGAGCAATCGAGAACTATCCAGTACAAATAGAGTTAGTTTAGGTTTCCTCCTGTAGTAACACTGGTTCAATAAGAGATGGCACCTTACCAGCTCCTCCGGGTTCGGTCTAAAAATGTACTTCAAGTTTTGGTTTTCTCCTGTACTCTGTACTCTGTAGTAGCACTGGACAAATACGTGTTGCCCTTTACTGGACCTCCATTCAGTGGAAATAAAGTTAGGTAACAGAGATACTGACAACTTTACCAAAATTATAAAAGTGAAGATATTGGAGTAACGTAGGTGTTACCATGAAGATATTCTTCCATTCTCTGCGATTAACCAACACGTGACTAGACTTTGCTTGGTTTCGTTTTGTTACAACATTTCATAAAAAACTCTCAATTCATCAGTCATAGTTAATGAGATTATTTGAAAATTGAAATGCAAAACTTGCAAGGCCTCACAAAATTTTCTCATGCTTGTCTTAAAATCAATATTTGTTTATTTCTCAATGTGTATAATTTACTTAAACCTATCATCGACCCCGAGTGTCAATTGAATTAACCTGACGTTCTTTTGAAGACTGCCGCCTATTGAAGTGTGTCTAATTATTATAAACACATCTTGTATGGAATAATGCTTGCTTTGCGGAAATGATTCGCAGATTGCTCCTCTTTATTTTCATGTCATTGATTCACAGTTTGCCATTAATTGACAATCGTCTGCATTCCCACTTCTCTAGATCTTCACTTGAAACAAGGAATGGCGATGCTCATATTTCTTCTTGCTGTCATGTTGCACTGTGTTGTCGCAGATAGATGGATGTAAGTCTAGCAACTATTTTATTTTGTATTTCAATTGAAGTATGCGACGGTTGCGATCGACCATAAATTACAGTTGTCGAGAACTGCCTCGTTCGATTCTTTAATCCCGTTGTCCAAGACAGCTTCAATTCGTGAACTGGACTATCAAAAGGGATTTTTTAAACGAGGCAGTTCTATACAGCGCTAAGCCGCTAACTTATAGGGCTCATTTATTGATCCGTATTTTATTTGTATTTATGAAAATGCTCGTAGAAAGCTTCGGTTACCAGCTTGGAGGTTTAGTTTGCACTCAAAACCTCAAAATGAACTTCTACAAGCTCTGACGACAAACGAACAAATATAGACAACTGACGGCCTCAGTCCCACGTGCGTTAAACTGCTTATCCCAAACGTGAAGTTTCAATTTCAGATTTTTCTCGAGATTTGAAGAAAGGGCGGCATTTTCTTTCCGTTTAGTTGTTTTGTGTAAGACTAACAGTAATAGACCGGCTGGGATCTTTTGGTACAAATCTCTATTTGCTTAATACTCTTAACCTGTAATTAGAAATAGTGTCCTTCTTTGCGTTGAGTTTCAACGTGCACACTTTGCCACACAAGATGCGTTAGCGATGCTAACGTTCATAGACCCTGGTCGATTCGACGTACAAGCGTCAAAACAGCTTTAAATCAGTATTAAGTTCTGGCATTGGGAGTCTAGTTGCATACAAGTATAGCAAAATCAATTGAAGCACGTACACAGTTTTCGCATTATAATCCGGCTGTTCTAGAGATGTAACTACTGGAGAAACCTAACAAAGTTTTATCAACCGAAGTTTTGTTAGTATTGACACTACTGGCGCGTTCATAGTGTTTCTCGGCCTGATCCTACACAGTAAAGGGGAAATTTATGTATTGCAGTGAAAAGTCTGAACATTTTTTGATGATCGTTATGTCGGTAACTTTAATCGTTTTCCGGGATTTCCAGATAGATTCATTACCATTGTTGGTATAACTCTGGATTAGCGGTGTCTTGGAGAGGTTTACTTGCTCTTTTGAAGAAGCGACTTTTGCCGCGTGGTTTATCTGTTTAGAAACTTGGCAAAAGGGTAGTCATGGATGATCAACTGACACTATCGTTCACAAGCAATCTTTTTTCTTTCCCATATTTATCCCACCCAATTTGTCCTCTAGTAACCTTCATGATCTTAGGGTTAATAATTTTAGCAATGTTTTCAATGACATTTAATTGCCTCTTGATTGCGATAAACGATTGAAGTCCAGAGTGAAATATTTGTAATGCCGCAATGTCACCTTGAAGTCCGAAATCCGGCCATTTATAAACTATGATGATATGTGCATTTTCATACGCACATACACGCACGAAAAAGTTAAAATCTTTCAGGCTAAATTTTATAGAAGTACTGATTGCCTCAACAAACAGATTTTCAATCACACACAAATCCTGTCTTTTTATTCATTTAGTATATAAGTCATAAGTAACATTTGAGTAGACTTAAGCTTTTTCGTGCGGTGACCTATGTGAAAAGCGCTTAACTGGAATGCAGATTTGGCTTGGATTTGTGCATTTCACCCTATGTTATCCTTTTTAATACCTTATTGGATCAAATTAACTGTTAGATTTTTGCCGAAGCATTTGCTTAAATTCATTTGTCTTCCGGTCATGTTGAAAAGCCTGTTGTACTCAGATACAAAACCATCAATGCATTTAAGACAAAAGTCCTCATCAAATAGATTTTTCATATTTTTATATTGCGCGATAATATTGAGTGAAAATAATTTCTTTCATTCTTTGCAATGAAGTAATGAACTTGTGTCATTTTAATAGCTATGATAATCTTCGCCATAGGTCAATTGCGGCTGTAAGTGGTTCCACATTTAAAAATGAAAACATGTGCCATAACTTGAAAGGATTGAACAGAAAACAAGTCCGTGTATGTAAAAGAAACGTTGAACTCATGACTAGCGTGAAGGAAGGAGCGGAAATGGCGATCCGGGAATGTCAACATCAATTCAAATATCGTAAATGGAATTGCACCACCATTAATAAGAAGAACGAACCTGTGTTTGGAAATGCTTTAAATAAAGGTAAGACTCGAGTTTCACTTTCGATTTCCTCACGAAGTGTTTTCAGTCGATTTCAAGTATTATCAGCCTGTTACCCAGGCGCTTTGATGTTGCGTGACGCGCGTGCGGGAGGACACGCGTGGTGAGCTACACACCTCAATTCCCGCGCGTGCGTCACGCAACATCAAAGCGCCTGGGACGAGCTGTGATTTTATTTCATTCATGAATGTTACAAGCGAGTCCAGCGTGTCCAGTAGAATTAAAAAGTATTTTCAATTTCCATTTGAGCTGCGAACAGTCTCGGTGAAAACTTATATTTTGCTTGGAAGCTATTGTTGCGTGCTTTAAAGGGATTGAGGTCTTCAATACAGTAAGTTTTCTTCTGAAGCAATTAATATTCAGTTTAGTCATTTAATGATTGTCTCTTTCCTAAACCAGGGACAAGGGAAGCAGCGTTTGTCTACGCCATTGCAGCAGCATCTGTCTCGTACTCTGTCACCAAAGACTGTACATCCGGGGAACTTAATAGTTGTTCATGTGACCGTTCACTTAAGATAAAAGATAGAAAGAAAACAAACGAAAACTGGCGTTGGGCAGGTTGCAGTGATAATATACATTTTGGAAATAGTTTTTCGAAAAGTTTTCTTGATGCGAGAGTTCGTGAGAGGCAACATTTCAGTTCTAGATCTAGAATTCTCATGAATCTGCACAATAACGAAGCTGGACGCAGGGTTGGTATTTGTAATTTATGAAATGTAATATTCTGGTATATAGTAAAATGACTGATATTTTATACGCCTTTAGATTTTACTGAACAATATGGTGAAGACATGTAAATGTCACGGTGTGTGTGGTACTTGCGCTCTTAAAACTTGTTGGAGACGTCTACCACCCATCAGACATGTGGGTGATAAATTAAAAGATAAATTTGATGGTGCAAGTTTGGTGAAAGAGGCCAACACAGGAGGAAGACGCATCTTAGTTCCAAAATATGAAAAGCTAAAACCACCAACGATATCCGATTTGGTTTATCTTGATTCTTCTCCAAACTTCTGTGCTCCTAATAAATCCACGGGCTCTCTTGGTACCTCGGGCCGAGTCTGCGAACCAGGTTCTCGCGCTATAGACGGATGTGATTTGTTGTGTTGTGGACGAGGATACACGACCCAAAATGTGGTTGTTGAAGAGAAATGTGAATGTAAATTCAACTGGTGTTGTTTTGTACGTTGTCAGACTTGTAGACGCAACAATACAGTGCATACATGCCGATAACGTCATCCACTATCTGATGTAAAGTATTTTATAGCTGACATATCAAATATTTATTTTTATGGGATATAACATTTGTATTATAAGATGTTTACCACGAGGGTTTATCGTTTTTAGTGCGCATTTTTTATTGCACAATCGGCTACGAGAATTAAGATCTATACATTTGAAATAAGCCAACGTCCGAGAATATAAGGGACCGGTCATTATTTATGGTGGGGGGTGGCACCGAAGAGAAATGTTTTTCGTGGCAAAAATTTTGCTTACCCAACCATTAAAAAATCAAAAATTTGATTACCCAACCTCAAGTATCATTTAAAAAATAAATACCCACCCCTGGCCAAAAACGTTACAAAAGGATGTCATTCAGTTGTCACACATGACAGTCTACCACTTCTGTGATACGTTTGATAACGTTCGGCTTGTGAATGTTTGATAGTTTGATAACGTTCGGCTTGTGAAATTTACTGACTTTTCTGCAGTCTAAAGTTTCATGTTGTCTGCACATTTACTTTCTTTGGAGACACCATTTGTCTCCCAACAAATCGGAAAATGATGAAGATATAGATTGATTCACATATTGTATTGACATATGACTGTTGACTTTGAAGTTTTCAGTCTTCAATATTTGAGTGAGTCATGCTTTGGAATTGACAATATATTTTTATTACCCAATCTTTGAGTTGTTTCGTTTTTGATTTACCCAACCTTTTACTCACTCAAAATTTTGTTTACCCAACACTTTTCTCTTCGGTGCCACCCCCGCCATAAATAATGACCGGTCCCTAAAGTTTCTTCTATTACTTGTTTTGGTAAAATTAATAACTATGGTTTAAACAAATTAAATCTAATTTATTTTCATTTGATGTTACATTACTGCATATGCATGTAGCCATGTTTCAAACTACGAGTGGCCTATACAAAGGCAGTTGGGGAATAAAGGAATACCGAATGGTTTTCCGTGCAGGATTACGTGATCCATGCACGAGGGATGTCGCGAGACTTTCGGAAAGCGTAAAAATACTCGAGCCGCAGGCGAGTGTATTTTTACGCTTTCCGAAAGTCGAGCAACATCCCAAGTGCATGGATCACGCTATCCTGCTTGGAAAACGATTTGGTAATTGTTTCATAAAATAACTGCAGTGAAACAATGACACTTTGAAAATCCCGCGAGAGCATTTTAATTCCTCGTGCAGGATAGCCTGATCCTATTTGGCTATTGACCAATCAAATTGCGTGTTTCACTGTGGTTATTATATAATGCGTAATCTTACATTTTTGCCTTGCCAGATGACTATCTGTTAGTTTGATAAAGAATCCAGTGTTGTTTGATTGGGTATTTGGTAATTATTAATGATTTCACGAAATGTTTTAAAATAGATTTATTTCAGAAGTATTGCACAAAAATACAATAAGTGGTTATATACATAAGGTCACACTGTTTTAGTTGTTGGATTACAGATTTTGCACACCAATATTAGAGTGGGAAGAAAAGTTTCACAGTCACATTGCGTGGCCATGCATGACAACTGCATGTTGAGGGTTTATGCACACTGTTTTTATCCTGCACACTGTTTTTTTGGGCAACACACAAAAACTTATGGATGGTGTCTTCATTGTTGTTTGGTTTTTAAAAATACAAGGAAACCTGTAATCCAACAAAACACATTATGGCCTAAAGAGTACATGACAAGAACACAGACGTTCTAACAGAAGTTCAATCAAATACAGTCAATGCATTTCAGTATCATACGCAATATTTTGTTTTTCACGTGTGATTGTTTGTTGAAATTTTCCAGGAGCTATTGGATATTGCTTTGCATGGTTCAATGCCAGTCTAGAGAAGACAAAATAAAACAGTTTTTTACCAAGTCTGTTGACCATTCACTCTACACAGGGCTTCCACATAGTATGGTATGAAATAGTATGGTATTAGATAAAATCCTGAAATGACAGAGAGATAATGCAGCATTATCATACCTTTTGTCAGCAACCTGTCGACATGCATGTATATGTTCATGGATCTTGCGTTTATTTTCAATCGGATCTTCCATCAAATACTTTATCATCAATCTTGTTACATATGGCTAAAATATGAATCAGTTTGCTGAAAACTAGAGGACATATCATTTGGAATGCCTAGCACCTCCTGTGTCCCCCCTCTCCCCATTTGACAGACAGCAACATTGTGTGGGTGAGGGAGAGTGGAATAAATGTATCATAAAAGGTATGATACATCTGACCACATGCACAATCTAGATAGACTGTCAAAGTTTGTACATTTATAGTGTTGCCAAAGATTGTACATTTATGGTATTGTGAATTCAAACTTCATTAAAGATTCTAACCAGTTTTTGCTCTTCCTCAGAAAGATCCCGACTGCCTGGCTCTTGAAAAAGAAACAAAATATATTCAAGTCAAATGTTTCAAATATGTATGAGCAGTGTCAATGAACCAATTTCAAGGCACGGCTACCAAATATTAAGCATGTTAAGCAAGCACTGGTGGGTTAAAATAAGTTTATTACAAAACAGCCAGGTAATGCATTAATTATTAACGCCATAAAAGGATGGAAAGTTTGTGTTGATATGCAACTGAGATATTGTATACAACTTTGATGCTTTCTATTTGCTATTAAATTTTTAAATCTTAGTTGCACAATTACGAAACTTTCCAGTCAGGACCACCGATTTCTACAGTCACAGAAAAACAAGAAACTGCCTTTCCATATTGTTTGTGCACAAAATAACTAACCTACAACAGTCTTGTAAAATAGAAAGCCACTGACAGGAACACCAAATGCCAAAATCTGCAAAGTTTAAGGTTATATATTTGTCTACATGAAATTTTAATAATGTACAATATAAATATACAATACTAAAATATATACATATAAACATGAAGTCATGAACAGTCATCAAATCAGTCATGTACACAAGACATTTTCATATTTAGATTGTTTTACTGTACAAAATAGAAAACATTACAACAATATTTAATAAAAATGAAAACATCCGGTTACCAGAAATTTCCATGACTGCTTTGGGATTTCTTGAGGGTTGCTCACATTCGTTGATTCACAGCGTCGAAAGTTTATTAAACCTTTGCAAAATCATAATAAAATATACATTTACTTAGTAATGACTTATACACAGCACACAATATATCTAATTTCTTGTCAAAACAATACAACAGACAATAATTTACCTGTTTTATACAGATTAAAAGTTGGCTTTCTCCAAAATGAACACAACTTGTAGACAGCCATATTGGATAAGTGTCACCGGAAAGTGTCGATCAACGGTCGGAAAGCGTCGTGAAAATACGAACTTGCAGCCAATCTCGTACCCAGAGCAATGCCGCGCCGGCTAGGAAAGCATTAGCCTGCTCACAGGCTCTACTGCCTGACAACGGCCTGCGAGCAGGCTAGGAAAGCATTGGCTCTGCAACCTAGTGATGGGCGATACTATCGAAAAAGTATCGAAATCATCGATACTTACAAAAGTATCGATACTTTCGATACTCGCAAAAAGTATCGGTAATTCGATACCACTTGAGCCTACGATGTTTTTGGTCAGTATTCCTGACCAATCGCTTAATACTTCATGAAGGCAACAGACTGAAGGACCCTGAAGGCAAAAAATGTTGACATGATGCGGTTCTTAAACAAAAACATGTAGCAAATTAGCAATATATTTGAGGAAAACATTGGTGGTTAGATTTAAAATCATAATTGCAAATGTTATGTTCGATTATTTGGCAGGTACTCCAGTTAGAGTATTCTTCGACTTGTTTTAAACATTAATGTTCTTGTTTTAAAAGTTATTTTAATAAATGGAAAAAATGAGTATCGGTATCGATTTTGGTATCGGTATCGACCAAAATTCATGGTATCGGACTGGTATCGTATCGAAACCAAAAAATTTGTTGGCTCTGGGGAAATTGACAACCGGAACCCCTAAATTTAGGGGTTCCGGTTCTTTGTCGGCATGCACGATTGATAAACGTTAAACCAATCACAGCACAGGAAAAATTCAATTTCCCCGGAGCCAATGTCATCCTAGCCCGCGTACAGGCATTGCTCTGGGTACGAGATTGACTTGCAGCGGGCTACATTTTGATGTCACGCAGTCACGAAATATGATTGGTTAGGGATTGGATTAGGTCTCGTGATTGCGTGAAAACATAGCATCTAACCATCAATCACCATTGGCCATTGACCCTAACCCCCCGACAACTGGGGACAAGAGATGGATATATCACTACATAACATTTTTAAGGCCAACCAGGGATTATTTGTTAAAAAGGTTGAAATTGAAAAACAGAACCATCATCAGAGATACGAAAAAACAGTTTCATATTATTCTAATAAATAGGAATTTTAGGTGAGCCAGTACAGCTCTGGGTACGAGATTGGCAATTCCTGCGAAACTGCAAGTCTATTGCCAAAATGGTCAAATGTTTGTTTGACTAAAATAATTCTAGTATTTACATATGGTAATCGAATACGCTTTCGTGCATAGTTCCGGTATAACACAACTGTCATCGTAAGAGATAAAATTGACCTTTATTTTTAAATATTAGTGATACTCTAATGCTTTACGTATAAAGTTAAATATTAGTGATACTCTAATGCTTTAGATTGAAAGAGTATGAATCTATACATCCGAAGCAACATCGAGGAAGTGATTGAACATACACATTATAAGCTTTTGAAATACAGTTCATTACGTATTTAAATGACGCATCCCGAGTTGAACGGAACTATAAGACGTGGTTTAAGTGCAGAGGCAGTTTGTGTACATCATATAAGATATCTATGGTGTACATAGTACATGATACAAGTGGATACAAGGTTAGTGTATGTTTACTATGTGATTTTCAACATGAATAAATCGATGGAGTAGCGTTTATACAACAATACTCAATACAGACAATAGGACCATATCTAGCAATTTGTGAAGATCTACTCTAATTAGTATATTTTATTTATATAATATGTGGAATGTCATTGACTCACCAAGTCTGCCTCTCGCGGGAGACGTTCCAGGCTGTTAACATCTCCCAAATAGTTTTTCCACAGACCGTATCTCAAAGAACAAAAAGAGTAGAGTACTGTAGGACGATGTTTCGCTCTTTTTCTATAGACTATACACTGTTTTATTCGCATTTACGTCACTTAGTAAAGTACTTTAAATAAAGACTTAAAGTCAAACTGACAAACATGTATTTTACACTCTTGTTTTAAATAATTTAATATTTTAGCAGATGTCGGTACACGAAGAAGCATCATCACAACAAAGCTGTGCTCAGGTCGAAGCAAAAAGACGACATAATGTAACTGCAACCTTCACATTGAAAAAAATTTGTTTGCTGCTCGGAACAGGTGCTGTGTTTCTTCTCACAATGAAATTCGAGTCCTCGAGATTGACAACTTTCCTTTGGTACACAAGTGGATTAGGTTTAATTTGGCTGCTATATGACATGGTTGCTCATGCAAGTGTGGGCTGGTGCACTGAGCAAATTCTAAGACGTTCATTTCAAGCAGCTCATTATCTTGTAAGATTGTTGTTCCTTGATCTCTGGAATTCTCGGCCAAAGAAGAAATGACGACAGCATCATATGATGACCGATCATTAATGTTTCAAAACGATCGGGTTTCAATTTGGAACTGTATCAATTCCTCTTCACTCACATTTTTAGGCATTTATTTTTATACGATATACATAGTCATAGACAATATTTTTTCTGTCCATTCCGTATAAGATTGAACAAATATGTATAATATTTACTTTTCAATCTCAAGAAACATATAAAAATTAAAATAACAATTTGAACAATTCCAAATAAGGTTTGTACTGAATGTACAGCCGACTGTCATCACAATTCCTATACTATAAACAGGATTTCATTGAATTTGAATACACAAACGTCATCTTGAATGGTTGAAACGACTCTCTCGACCGAGAGCTGCTGCAATTCGGTCCCGGAAACTGTCGACACTCTCTCGTGTGGCTCTCTCACTACCAGTGCTCTTTATTCTTCGAACTCTAGATTGAATAATTTCAGATGTCTCTGACGAAGTCATGTCGCAACTTGCCGAAGTCACAACGGGGTCTATTTTAAGATCGGAATTATTTACTGTTGGTCTATTCAATCGTTTGATCGGAAACTGTCTCGGTGCTTCTGGATTTTGTTGAAGGGAGAGCAAATGCATGCGAGCATCACTTAAAGCTTGCGTTAGTTCCAGTCTTTCTTCGCATTCACGTCGTACGGTATCTTGAAGAATGCTCATCTGAAATCATGTTTTTATACATCAGTTATACACCTGAAATGAGGGATATTGAGCGTTTCATAGTACGCAGTACCTTACCTCGCTATTTTTCGCTGTTAACTTTTGTTCCATGACTTTCATTTGTGTTTTACTACTTTGTAAGCTTTTCTGCATCGCTTCGTATTTAGTTTTCAAATCATTATTTTCATGTTCATTCTTCTTGTGTTGGGATGCTTCAAGACTCCTCTTTAGATCGAGAATCTCGTTCTGATATTTCTGTACTTCTTGAGCATTTCGTGTCTAAATATTCAATACAGTGATCACTGAACCAGGGGGTTGAACCAAGAGGTAGCCTATCTTGAAAGAATCTAGGGTATGATAATTCAAGACATTTTTTGTTGCACCTCACTGATTTTCCAATGATTAATGCCGCGTAAACGTATGTACATCTCCTAATCTCAACTCACCCCATGCATCAGTACAATCAGGCCTCGAATTTCCCTGAAATCAATCGACGGCAATGGCGTTAAAAATTGCCGTGGAACGTAACAGCTGTCTACGGCAATTTTGGCAGTTTCCACAGCATTTTGAGACTAAAATAGTGATTTACGCATGATTTAATCAACATCTGAATTCAAGTATCAAAGATAAAAATTGCACTATACGGCAAAAAATTGCCGTCGTTGCCGCAATGATCCACGGCATTTTGTTCTCCCTCTACGGCAATTGCCGCGATAAAATTCGAGCCCTGAGTACAATCATGTTTCAAGCCATGTCGGATTCACCAGATGGTCATATTGGCGTCGCACCCTGGAATCTACCATTTATTCGCCTGCTGAATAGAACTTACCTTGTTTGTTGATAGTGCGTTCTTAAGTTGATTCATTTCTTCTTTAAGATTGCGAAAAGCACTGTTATCTTGTTCCAGCTGCCGGAGGAAAAACAAAGAATAAGTTTAAAAAACAGATATATTTTAAAGAAGATAGAAATCACACACCTTGTCTTTCAAGTTATTTATTTCAACCTCCATAATGTCAACTTCCTCAGAATGCTTTGCATTTAAACCTTTCAATTCCTAAACACAAAGAATTACTGTCAGAATATTGTTAACTATATATTTATTGCCTAAAATATTTGTTTCAAAATTTTCTAGCCTTTTCAAATTCTTCTTTTAAGGAACGTTGTGATCCTTCAATGTCAATATCAACTTTCCGTTTTATTTCATCGAGTTCATTTTGAAGCTACAAAGAATAAAAAATAAAATTTGGTAAACACGATCAACGACAATGCAGAAAATCAGTGATGTTACTTGGCGATCTTACCACTCTGCAAGTTTTTTCCGAAGCTTCTAGTTTTTTTGCATAACTTTCTCTGAGTTGTTCGATACGATTGTGATGTGCAATGATCGTTTGCTCTCTGTAATTAGAAGAAATGAATTTTGTCACCTGAGAAGATTGTTCTCTTCCTGTGACGCACTCAGCTGCCATCACTGGAGATCGTCAGATTTCTTACCTTTCCAGCTTAAGTTTTCCAGACTCAACTCTCATGCCACTCACTGTTTCTTCCAAGTTCTACAACAACCGATAAATTATTTGAACACAAATATGTAGGAATGAATTTCGAAATTAGAAATGAACATTTCAACCTTTAACTGGACATCTTTATCTGTTACTTTCTCTCGAACTTCTTTTTCAGCTGCAGATTTCTCATTCATTAATTTTTCTAAGGATTTACACAGGGCGTTTAATTTCTTCAACTCCTCGTCTTTCTTCATTAATGATTCCTTATATTTGAAATGATCTTCCTGTTTTTCTCTCTTCACAATTTCTAAACTGTTCTTTACTTCCGTTTCTTCTCTTGACTTCTGGCTAACAGAAAGAAACATTTCTGTACTCAGCAATACAACAATTGTTTTACATCTAGCGTACAGTGCTTAAACCATAGTACTTAAACCATTAGTAATAACAAGTGGCAGTCACTGTTAGGCATTACTAGACATTCTAATGGACAAACTTTGACAAATTCTTACATTAAACCATTTTCAATTGCTGTATTCTTTTTTCTCAAGGTTTTGTTGCCTTCTTCTAATTGGCTCACATGTTTCTCATAAACATCAAGTTTATTTTGTATTTCAACATATTTTGTCTGCAAGTCATGCGACTTTGTATCAGCTTCACGTAAACGGTTTATTTCATTTTGAAAGTTTAACAATTGTTCATTCATCTTTTTGCATTTTGCCTCTGTATCGAGTCTTTCTTGGATAACCTGCATCATCAAAGCAAACAAATATTAAAATATTCAGTTTTTGGTTTATAACAAAAAAGTTGGTAAAACTAGAATTACATTTTTTTTCATATACACTACATTAACACCTTTTTTTTAAGTATTTCAGTAACTCTATTAACTTTTTTCTCTAATAACTCTCTTGACAACATTTTATGTTCAAGAACATCTTTTCTCAAGCTGTTTAAGGATTCTTTCTGCTGGCTAAGAAATGCATTGTAACATTGCAGGGTACTTGACAAATGAGAAATACGAGAGGACAATTTCTCAGATTTGCTTTGTTCTTCTTGTATGTTGCTCTCATATTGCCGTTTCTGTAAATACATTTCATTGATTAACTTTGCTTTCATTTTAAGATCAGATTTAAACAGCTCCAGTCTAAAGAAATGAAATGAAAATTTATCAATATAAGCTGTACAATTGCTTGGTTTAGACTTTAGTGTTGATGAAGTCAGAATATGCTCATGCAACTACACAAATTCACATCAATTTTTACACAAATTTTCAGTTTACGATTTATTTGTATAATGTAACCTTTATAGAACAATATAGTTCAAAAGAATAGCAAAAGTGCCTTTTCCTTTCCTGTTGTTCTTCAGAGGACAATATCCTTGGTCCAGATTGTAAAGTTTAGCCTGCACAGGAAATGCGTTCCCCACACAGAAATTTTAGCTGAATTTCTGTCCGCACATTTTCAAGAAAATCCTACAAAATCTGCATATTTTTGATGATTTATTTTGTCTCTTACGTGTTGGGCCTTGCGAGAGAAAACTCTGAAAATGCCATTTCAGACTATCTAGAGACTCCAAATTTTCGAAATTTTCTCAAATGTTCTGCCTTCATTTCCGTGCAACTGCCATTTGACGAAAAGTTCCTCGTGCAAAAATAATACTTTACAGTCTGGTCCTTGGTGCAGAAGCCTGATTTTCATGAATTGTCACCTAGTCTTGATTCAAAAGAGTGAGGTTCCCAGGCCAAGTATTTATTCATTATATATGTAATTATTGAAAATGTGTATAAAAAAGTATATTGTCTATTCTTATATAGATCTTATCCACTCTGTCTCTGTTGATCGACATACCAGTGTGGAAAGTTTGTATTGCGCGGCGGATATCTCCGGCGTGCAATTTTGATCTTTCTATATATTTACTATTAAATTTTCTAAATCTCAGGCGTGCAATTTCCAAACTTTCCAGTCTGGTCAACATACTTACTGTTGGTCCTGATCCTTGAGTTTCTGTGATTGCTTCAAAAATTCTGCATTCATATTTTCCATTTTCTCTTTCAACACTTTCTCCCTTTCAACACTTCCTTTATAAAACTCCATCTGTTTTTCAGCCTCAGCTAATTTTTCTTGTAAAGCCTTCACTTCATTGTGGATTAAATAACTCACTCCACAAAATTTACATACGGTTTCATCTCGTTTCATTTGTTGTATTTCGTCAGGCAAAGGATGTTGTGGTACAGCAAAACTTGTAGACTCGGAGTTTGTCATGCTTTCAGTATCTTCTCAACACATAATGTCAATACAGCAGTCTCGCTCCTTAGCCAAATAAATTCCATCTAAAATCAAGAGATTTAGTGCAATACATTCATTCATTATCATGTTTTAATCCACCAAGGTTGTGTTGATACCCTAATAAGCGTAATCATTCCATTTCAATAAAAAACGTCCAAAAAAATAACGTTTCTTTTTTTAGTTCGACATTATTTTTGTGAAATCTCCAGCGTTCTGTTTCTAGGATACCGAAGATAAACGACCACAAGCCGTAGCTTTCCGATGTCATTTTCTATTGACCGGGGGGAGGGGACGACCGAAAATATTCGACTTCGAAATATTCTACAAAATAACAAAAAGACCTTAGACCTATACTTCTTTTGGAAAAAAATCTTGTTAAATGTGAGTTATTTCCGATGGAAAACCCACAAATTCATGCTCAAAGAAGTAAAGACACAGAATTTCCCATTGGCATGGAAGCAAGCGATAGTTCCAGTATGATAAATCCACAAAGAAGTCGCTTTCCTTACTGTATAGTGTGGACTCCGATACCAGTTTTGACGTGAGTAGAAATTTATTTCATATCATTATTTCATATTTATATTAAAACCTTCCTTACTGACTTAGGTCATTTGGTAAGTGTACTTGGCCTTCCAATATCCAAGGATATAGTAGCATTTGCCACCCATAGAGTGTTTGCCTTAGAAAAGAACAAACCCTGGTCAAATAAGACAGTGTTGGCAATCTTGTGCTCCTGTCAAACAAAAACCAGCAGGGCCGTAGGCAGGATTTTTTCACCAGGGAGGCGGTAAGGCCTATATGCTGAAAAAAAGTCCCAAATAATAATAATGTCATTCTAAAAATCGTAATTCGTAAATATAGTTTTCTCTAGGGGGCTCTTGCCCCCTGCCCTCTCCCCGCTGACTAGAGCCCTGAAAACCAGAGTTACATAAAAGTTGACCTTGATTTTACCACCTATAGCAAAAACTCATTTGAACTATCCTAGAGTCAGTGAGAGTTGTTAAGCCCTGGGCAAACTAGGAAACGTTGTAGAAACATTTGTGATTCTCGATGTTTCCTCAAATGTTTCCCAGTTTGCCCACCTGTGGAAACATTGTTGCGGAAACAAAATTTGCTTCCTGAGAAGCAAAAATGTTTCCTAGCGAATTCAGAAACATTTGATGTTTCCCTATGTTTCTCACTAATGTTTCCTAGTGTTTGCCCACTCTTGGAAACATGGCAAAACATTGGTAGGAAACAATGTTTCCGCAACAGTGTTTCCTAGTTTGCCCAGGGTTTTAGCCTCACTTGTATTTGACAACTTTCACCTTTGTATGACCAGACGTTATTAAAGTTCTCTAAATAGCGAAAATCATAAAAAAGTTTATATCTAAATTTAAAAGAATAAGATTAGCATTTTTATTACAGATGGTTATTTCCATTTATTGGCCATATGGGGATTGCTATGTCCTCTGGAGTAATTCGAGATTTTGCAGGGCCTTACTATGTTTCAGTAAGTTTGTAACATTGGTCTGATTTCTGTGAAGTTGAAATTGATATTACACAAAAAATAGAAAACATTTCTAATTTCAGGAAGACTGCATGGCTTTTGGAAAACCCACAAAGTAAGAAAAGTAGATATATTATTTATGGATTTATTGAGCCACTGGAAATGAAAACAAGATGGAAAGTAGAGCACAGTTAAAGTTTAATTTTTTTGCCGCAGATATTGGGAACTTAATCCAATGTTAGTAAAGAATTCCAATACATCCTGGGATTGTGCTATTTCTGAAGCATCGGAAGTGTATAAACATAGAATGGTAATATGATTTTAACCACCTAAGGGTTCATCCAAAAAATAAGCATAAAACTGTATGCTGGAGCTGAGGGGATTAATTATGACTGATGTATGCTTTTTAAAATGTTGATTATCCACTTATACTGTAATCATTCTCCCTGAGATTTATAATTATGGATGACCCATAACCCTCCTAAAAGCTTTCAATCTGGACTGTAAGCATACATTCATTATCAGAATACTGTAGTCCGATCTTGTTAATTGACAACTCACAACACCTTGACAAGAAGATCATCTGGCATTAGGCAAAATATGATTGACAATTTTTATGGGCAAAAAGTGTTGTTTTGCAATGTTCAGCTTCTTTGTATATTGATATAGCACAATCTCTGTTGTGATAATTGTCATTCCCATGTTGCTATGGCTCTGAATGTCATGAATTATAGTGGCTCTTCTTCATGGAATATGGTTAACTTGTGTTTCTGGCTCCTTGTTTATGGGAAATATGTCAGGTAATACCATGATCACCTTGATTTTCATTGTTCTGAAAGGGAATGTAAATCCTGTATTTCCCTCATTACCCATGCATATGCTTTTGTCTTCTAAATTTAGTTGAAAACAAATGATTTCTTTGTCTTCTAATTCGCCCCTGCATGCTTGAAGAGGGAAAATTAGAAGACAAATTAGAAATCTTTTGTCTTTTACTAAATTTCCCAGGGTTCATTGGAGAGCTGTACCGGCACAACTATGGACTGTGTCTGACGACATTGTCCCGTACAAATACGAACGATCACTTTGCCAGTTTTTATTCCGCAATCTTGAACATTTCAATTGTGGGGTAAAATTCGGTTTATGAGCATGCCTAAAAAGAATGAACATGGAGATACGTTTCTGCACATACATATACATACAGTAATATATGAAAAGTGTTCATCCCACAATCATAAGACAATCAAACTGCATTCAAATCAGACCAACACACCACGTGTGATACCCTCGGTGATCATAATATTACAGACTTTCACAAATCTTCCCTCGGCATCGGACAATTTAATAGCTAATTTCCCTCTAGTCAAGTTAATAGTTATAATTGTTTTCATATTGCTAATTTATGTGCTTATTGTACAGTAGTAAGTTATTGAGACATGTGCCCTATTATTTTACTCTAACACCAGACAATTTTTCTCATCGAAGGTTAATTATATTATAGATATTTCAATAATTTCATCAATAGAAATAACTAAAGCGTATTTTTATTTTAGTTTTGGATCATTCGTAAAGACATGGTTGCCATTCTTAATACTTGCAGTAATAGTTGTTCTCCTTGTCACCCTTGCTGGTTCACATTAAATCCATGATTGAAATGAATAATACCATTTTTACATGCAGAACCAAAATATTTGTCTGTGGCCAAATATCTTTTGGTTAGAAAATAGTTGATGTTTTACTATAGCTGGCCATGCTGACAAAGTTGTTAAATGGGCATTTAAATGAGCCATGTAGATATTTAGAACACTGAAGGCAATCCTCCTGGAAATGATTTTGAAACATTGTCAGTCAGTCTGAGTATACTGTAAGAGAGATATTCTACCAAGTCTGTATCAACATAAATCATGTATATACTGTATTCATTTGGAGGTTTTTCAATAGACAATGTGTTGTAGGATTAACATTGTTGGTGATTGGTTGTTGTCATTCAGTAAGTTTACCACATGTTTAGCATGTTTATATGATGCAAAATTATAGACAGTTGTAGATAAATACATAGAGTCAAGTTGGATACTACATATATTTTAAGTTGGGGTGGGCTGAACTTTGGTAGTTTGAATGACTTGGTGGAGTAATAGCCAGCAAAAGAAGCATAATTGTACTTAAGAATTGAACTGCCTGCACATTAAAAAGAGCTCACAGTTTTTTTTAAAATGATTATTTCAAATACCATCTTTTCTATAATTACCTCTAGTTTTACTGTATCTGATCCTGTGCAAAATATTCCCTCCCTCCCCCCGATCCCCTCCCCCGATCCCTTCCCCCTGACTCCTATGCCAATGTTTATTAACACAACTAAAAAAATGAGAAATCTTTGCAATTATGTCAATAAAATGTTGGTTGGATTATTTTAAACTGGTTGGTTGGAGTCCTGAAACCAACAATTTTTGTTTATTATGAACATCCACAGTGAAATTTAGAATTTTTAACTTTAACCAGTCTCAAGGAGAGTCCACAGCATTTAACATGATACCATTCATCGCAGTCATCACACTGAACCCATGAGATAATCTTGCCCTCTGGTTTTATACACTTTGAAGCAGAACAAGTGTCATCGGTTGGTTGAGACTCTTGTTTTGATCTTCGTCTTTTCTTCTCTGAAATGAGAAATATTACAAACAAATTGTTTACAAATGTTAAAACATTAAGAACAGATATTCATATATGATCCTTCTTCATCTTAGCCTTGTTCGCAGACATCAGTGGGTTTCTTGGGAGTGCGGAGACCCACATTCAAGCTGGCTGGTCCCAGCTTAGGGGCACAAGCATAAAGGTTGGGTATATTCTGCTATTGTATGACATTACATGATACCATTTGTCATCACTCGACTATTAAGTATACAACCCAGAAAAAATGTATTATCCCTTGTGACTGCTACTAACTGCATTTTGTCCTATGATGAAAAATGGGAGAGGAAAACGCATAATATCTTGTCATATATCATCATGATCTGCATTCACTGAAGCTATTGTTTTTACCTGGGCTTTTGGTGCTTCTATTGTTTTCACAACTGGCATGGGGTAATATTTGTGTGTACTTTACAGTAAGTAGATCCTCGTCACTTTCATTCTCTTTGGTAAAAGAAGAAACTGCAGTTGAAGCGTATTCTTGCAACATCATGTAGTCATTGTCATCACTGTTTTCAAACATCAACACACGTCTTGTTGTAGGACAGTTTTCTGACAGCACAGTTGATGTGGTTGGTGTTTCCATTGTTGCTTCCTGGGTGTGCTTAGTTTCAATATTTGTCAAATCATTCCCTGCTTCATGAAAACTTTCAAACTATAAGGAAAACAGAAAGTATAATCCTGAAAACAAGATTAGATTGCCTAGATCGTATAGTTCTCAATCAAGATCTTGACAAGCCAGATTATGGCACTATCCTGGTGTCATTAGTCTGCTTTGCAGCCCGAAATTTCATTGCTGAAACAAGGTGGTGTTGTGCTGATTTGGTTAAAGGCACAATTCCCTTATTTCGCAAGTGATATTGTAATCCCTGAAGAGGTTAGAGGATTTGACACATATCATACAACTGGACTATTCTCTTTGCAAGTATGAGTGAAACTCCTCAGGATTTGGCCATGTTGGTGCTATTTCAACAAATGACATCATCCATTGAATTTGGCACCAAAGGTGGTCACTATTTTATTTCCTTTAAATTCCTGTAGTCGATTCCCTATTAGTAGTGAAAAGATCCAGTTATAAAGCTGTGATCTCTATTTATAGCACTGATGAAGATTCAGGCTTGTGGATTGAAAATTTGCAATAATATAAACATATTTTCTACAAACAAATATAGTCATGAACTTACCAAAAACTTGAACTCTGAATTTAACTGTTTGTAACAATTTCCACTTTCAAGACATGCTCCTTGCACGTGACCAAATATTACAACATCTCCAGGCCTTAACAAAGCTTCAGTAGAGATCTTGACATCATTCACATATGTACCATTAAGACTGACGTCATGGATTTTGAACACATCCTCACCACACTGTGTCTGTGAATACTGTGATTTTGAAATTCTTGCATGAATTCTGGAGATCAATGCTTTGTTTTTGGATGAATCGATAAAGAAGTCGACATTATTTTTTGCTCTGCCAATAACTGTGATATTTTGTTGCAATCTATAGGAAATTTAATATAATATAAACAGGAAAAGTTAAAAATAAAAAAACTAGCTTAGCAGTGGACCACGCCAAACCTAGTTTAATTAAACTCACACAAATACATCAGCAACGTCTTGCATTGTAGCAGGAGCACCGATCCTTCGCAGACGATAACAAATCTTCCCATTTATCGATTCCTCCATTTAAACTGGTTCGATTTTAATATTAATATGTCTTCTTTCAAAACAATCGTATTTCCCGCCAAAACCCGCCAATATCATATCCACCAGTTCCCGTCTAACCCCGGGGGAGTGGCGGAGGTGTGAAACCACTGGTGGTTGTGTCAGAGAATATAATTTATTCTGTGCTTGTCCGAATACCACACGGCGTCGTCAATGTTTATTTTGTTTTGTAATATATAAAACCGTGTATAAAACTATATTTTTGTTAAAATTTTAGCACGTAATTATCTTGGAAAACGGCATGCTATTAACTAAACGTTTGTCCGTTTCTCAATGTTCAAGGTAAGAAAACTTTAGTTTGTTTGAGCATGACTCTATATTGACAGCTTCCTATCGATGACAACTGTATTTAATGAAGAATAAAATATATTTTGAAAATAAATTTCATGCGTTTAATCCGCAAGAGCTGTAGTAGCGTATCTGCGTGATTTACACTGATAACATTATGTGAAAAAAGACCAAAATACAAAAACGTCACGCTATATGTAACTGTTGCGAAACGGAATGAAATCTTCAGTTCGCGAAATCTTGCTGTGTGGGAGGTTTACTATAATCCTAATCTGTTGCAGTTTAATTCTGGCCATAACTAGATTTCACGAATGGCAGATTTCGTTTCGCAAACTGCAGTAAATCCAAATTTCACTTAAACTTTAAAGAGGAAAATTTCTAGTTTTAAAAGCATCTGTCATCATATTTGTCAGGTTTTGACAGTAGTGTCACAAACTGTGACTAAGGATGATCAAAGAAAGTCGACTCTGTATCTCAGGCAATTATAATAACTGTTGTGGCTGATGTAAATAAACTTGGCATCTGGTTTTGCAATCTCATAAAACCCTAACATTCACCTAACTAGTTCAGTTGACTCTCTAGTTTGGTGGCACAGTCGTCAGAGCATTAATTCAGTGCAATAGACACCCTAACATTCACCTAACTAGTTCAGCTGACTCTCTAGTTTGGTGGCACAGTCGTCAGAGCATTCAGTGCAATAGACACCCTAACATTCACCTAACTAGTTCAGTTGATTCTCTAGTTTGGTGGTGAAGTCTGATGAGCATTCAGTGCAATAGACACCCTAACATTCACCTAACTAGTTCAGTTGACTCTCTAGTTTGGTGGTGAAGTCTGATGAGCATTCAGTGCAATAGACACCCTAACATTCACCTAACTAGTTCAGTTGACTCTCTAGTTTGGTGGCACAGTCATCAGAGCATTCAGTGCAATAGACACCCTAACATTCACCTAACTAGTTTAGTTGATTCTCTAGTTTGGTGGCACAGTCATCAGAGCATTCAGTGCAATAGACACCCTAACATTCACCTAACTAGTTCAGTTGACTCTCTAGTTTGGTGGCACAGTCGTCAGAGCATTCAGTGCAATAGACACCCTAACATTCACCTAACTAGTTCAGTTGATTCTCTAGTTTGGTGGCACAGTCGTCAGAGCATTCAGTGCAATAGACACCCTAACATTCACCTAACTAGTTCAGTTGACTCTCTACTTTGGTGGCACAGTCATTAGAGCAAGCGCCTTCACCTCTAGGATTGTGGGTTGGATTCTCACTACGGCCTCATGTGAAAAGATGTGTCAGTCAACGCTCTGCCAAAAGTTCTGGGTTTTTTCCATGCACTCCGGTTTTCTCCCACAGGGAAAGTTGGTTAGGATAAACACAGTTAAGAAAGTAATCACAATTGTTGTAAAGATAAATAGCAGATAGATAGATAGATAGATAGATAGATAGATAGATAGATAGATAGATAGATAGATAGATAGATAG